TGAGTGTGGAGCATACTTACAGGTCTGTGGACAGAGATCCTCCTTATGAATGTGCATTAATCTGGGTGCTGTGAGTTTTCTGGCCTCATGGTGTTTAGACAGAGACTAGAAAAGTGTTGAGAAGACAGGCTCCAGGATTGTTTCCTGCCTGAACTTTAACCAACAGGACTTTAAATCTTCATTGTTATAATTTCATGGTATGTCCAGCTGAAAAGAATCTGAGTGTTAGGATTCTGTATTCATTCCTGCCCTGAGTCTGCTGTCAGTCTTGTAGTCAGAGACATTTGTAGGGCTTTAATCCCTTTCACAAAAGTTTCTTCTCTGCCTGATTAAAAAAAGCCTCACAAATGAAATCTTTGTAAAATAGCCACAAGGACTATTTTTCTAGCAATAGACAGCATAGAATCAGCCTCAGGAGCAAGGAGAATGGCCTTGTCTTCCCATGTTGGCTCTCATGCTCAGAAGAATGGTGCGCTTAGTAGTTTCAATGAGCATTCTGTGAAAACATCTTGTCTAAAATGATGTATTATCCTCAAATGGTTATTCCATCAACAATTCTTAAGATTTCCCTTAAGATTCGACTAATACCCTTGAGATTTGAGAAACTCAACTTTTCAAAAAGTCTTGGGAGACTCTTGGCTAGTACACATACATGCACATGTAAAACAGAGTGGCAATGTAAGGCCGCCAAAAATTAGTATAAATTGTCTTAAAATATCGACTTGAGATGAGAGAAATAGTTTGGGGGAAACATGTTTCTACTATCAAAACCTACCCTTTTTGCAAAGTGGTAATGTGTGGCAGGCACCCTAGAAAGCCCTCAATTTTGAGGAAATCAGGATGAATGTTTATTGGCAGCTGATCTACAGCATTATTAATTTTGAGGTCAATTAATCAAAGAGACTTATATCACTATGTATCTAAAGAGTGAGGAAATAAAATATTTACTTAAGCTTTAGTGGCCATATGTTAACTCTATGTTAACTAGAGCAAATGACCAAGATAAATGCAATATTAGGATGAAGACTACTGCATCATTTGCTTTATGAGGTTTGCTGCACTCCTGGGGTTGCATGGAAGTTCGGAATTCTGGAATTCGTATTGCTGACTTCTTAAGTGTCAAGGGAAAACTCATCCATTTATCATCCATTATTTGACCAAATTGTTATTAAGAATCAATGATTTATATCAAAGTGCTCAGTGAATCTCTTGTAGTTCGGACCACCCATAGCCTTGAGAGCAGTTCTGGTATATTTTGGGATCTGCCTTAGTTCCTTACCCTGCCCTGTTGCTTGATAAGAGCCCCCCTTCCCTCTCCTCCCGCCCCTCCCCCCGCCTCACCCTGCACAATGCCTGTCCAGGCATTTGGGTAGGCTTGGATCACTCTTCTGACTCTTAACACCTCTGATATAATGTGTGGATGCTTTGGGATTTCAAGAGACTCATGCTAGAGTCTCACAGAGTTGCTGCACACACTACCTTTGGTTTGGGCAAGAATTTTTTTTTTCTTATTAGCATCTTTTTCCAAGCACCAATTCCTATGATGTTTTTCTCTGTTAGTGCTCTGTCCCACATGAAATTTGGCACTGTGTGTATTCACCCCTTAATTACATTTTTGTTTGATAGATCCAACAGTTGTCAGATCTGTAAACCTGTGAGCTTGAAGATTGCTCCCTTCAAAGTGTATTTGAGTTCCATCTACATCACAGAGGAGCTGGGTCTTCCCTAACACAAGCTGCCTCCCTTGCCTTCCTCTGGACATTGTTCTTACTTATCTTTTTACTTTGAAAAACATCTGGTGTTTTCCTAAACATCCTTTGTGAATTTAATGGTTTACTAACTGGTCAGAAGAGTGCACAAATAATATAGTTGATGCCGTTCCCAGGATGACATGTAGAGGGCCTTTCTGTACATGCCAGGGGAAAGAAAGATTAGTTAGGTCAAATAGGTGTATTTCCCCAAATTGTCGGACTAGTTCTCACCTGTCATTGTATATAAGACACCATTTAAACCAAAGACATTGATATTTTACATGGGTGTTTTGTATCATGATAATACTCACTTTCAAAAGATAAGTATTCAAATGTTTTTTCTTGCATGCGATTGTTTCTAACATATTTATAAGATGATTTCTTTGTTGCTTTGTATGTCCCTCCCCCATGGTATAACCCCTGCTTTCTCTGCATTTGATGATGGTATAATTTGTGGAGGGGAAGGGGACAAACAAATCGTTTAAATAGGGATACAGGTGGACCCATTGCAACAATGAGATGTACAAGTCGTTATGTCGAAAAAAGAACTTTACAACTTTGGCTGGGGGGAGGTGGGGGAAGCGGGGGGGGGGGGGGGGGGGGGGGGATATGGAAAGGGATGGGAAGGGGAAACAAAGGAGGAGGCAAAAATGTTTAATAAGAAATGAAAAAAAATTCTGAGATACTCGTATCTCAGAAATGCTAATTAATGGATCAATACTGTGTTATCATGTCTCAGTAAATAAACTTGATTTATAAAATCATGGTTTATAGCCCTTATAAATAGCTCTTTTCTCATGCACTTACACATGCTCTGAGACCTATTCTCCACAGAAACCACATACTACTTATAAAGTGAGAATGCTTATTAAATATATTAAATATATAAATATTATATATATATAAATATATTAAAATGCTTATTAAATATATGCATAGACACTTTGGGAGCAAATAGTAAGGGCACAGAAGAATGACACAGCCTAATGTCTCTATGTCCTGACTCCAGGTTGAACACTCTAACAGGTGAGATCATTAAGATACTCCTGGTACTGTTGCTGGTTTGTGAGTTGTAGCTGGAGAAGCAACCTTTCTGGGGAGATTTATAATCATTCAGATTTGCTGAGTGCCCCATAGATGGAGGGTAAAAGCCAAGCTAAGCATGCCGGCAGGACTTGCTTGAGTAGACGCTAACCTCACCACACCCACATGCCCCCCAGCTCAGTTCAGAGCTCCCTTTTTCTTTTTCTTTTCTTTCTTTTTTTTTGGGGGGGGGTCTGATCGTGGGGCCTGAACTCTGGGCTTGGGCGCTGTCCCTCAACTCTTCAGCTCAAGGCTAGCGCTCTACCACTTGAGCCACAGCACCACTTCCGGCTTTTTTCTTTTTGCTTATGTGGTGCTGAGGAATCGAACCCAGGGCCTCAGGCATGCAAGGCAAGCGCTCTACCCCTGAGCCACATCCCCAGCCCCTCCCTTTTCCTTTTTTTTTTTTTTTTTTTTCCTCCCTTTTCCTTTTAGAACTCATTTCCTAAAACCCAACAGCTCAGAGCCATCCTAGACACCATTGCATTTTGGTCTTTTATTCCTATCCTGCTTTTTCTTACTATATTTGATTTTGAGGTCCTTTAGGACAAAGGATGCAGTTTTTAATTTCCTTTTTAAAGCTCTACCAGCACAAAATTTAATATTGTACTTTGCAGACATACCCAGTGAACATATGATATAATATAATTTTAGCTAACCAAGCTTGGTTAACTAAACCAAGCTTTAGTTAACCAATGCTTGCTTGAAAATTCTGCTAAAATGCTGGATGGTCCCATATTGCCTAACATAGAAGCTAAGAATAAGTTCCTTTCAAGCATTATAAACTTTTATAAACATTATAAATTCACTGGCTTGGACAAAAGGAGACAGTAGATTTCCTGATTCCCTACAGCAGAAGGGCCAGTATTACTATTAGGTGTCTAATAGACCTAATGAAAATGGATCATGGGAGAGATGATCTGCTTCATACAAATAAATATTTTTTATAAGATTCTTTTAAAAAACAAGCATGTATCTGTGCTTTTTTTGTGGTACAAAATTATTTTAATCAGAATGTTAAAGGGATCTGAAATCTCAAAAACGCACCTGCTCTTTGATAGAATTAAGCAGAACTTAGTTTTCAAATGGCTTTTCATTTGTGTGAAGGTTCTTTATGGGGAAGATGAAATCTGAGTCTCTTTGTATTTCCTGCATCTTGCAAACCGTATCTAGCACATAACGATCAATGGGGGATTTGTGTGCACAAAATGCATTGACAGGAAAAAGAAAGGCTTGTTTGTAAACCATCACTTTCTGGGGATGACATCATCTGCCACTGTGTTTGGTTCTGTTGATCCCACAGACAGAGTGGCCCCCAAAACAGCAGCAGGGGAGTGCTCAGAAGAGAGTGTTTAGCTCAAAGTACTTACACATACCAGTGCTCATCCTTGAAATGACTAACGGTGAGAAGAACGTTATGTCCCAGTGAGAGGCAGAGTTCAGGGTTTATAGAGTCTAAGGAATTCCGGTTTAGGGCTGGGGGCCAGTTTGCTTCAGTGCACTCGGCAACCATTTATAAACCTCTTAATTAATGCCTGGGAACGAACATTCAAGACTGGGGCTTAGTCTCAAGGCTGCAGAGAAAACCCCTGAAATCGGCTGGTCAAGACCTTCTGTGATTTTCAATTAGGGCAGAAAGTGTATGCAGGAAGGCCCCCCGCATTCTCCCTCCACCCCTTGTCACCCCAAGTGTGCTAACAAGTGGGCAAATTGCTGGAAGGTCTGTAACAGCAGGAGATAAATATCATTTGAAACTGCAGGTGACTTACCCAACGAAGTTGCCGGTGAGTTTAGGCTTGCTAGGCACTACAAAGGAAAACAAAAGAATTTTTTTTCTCTCATGAAGCTGCAGCATAACTTGCTGGCTCAGCACATGTTTTTCCCTGTTATAGCTTTGGGAAAGAACAGAACTTGGAGCCTGTTCTGCCCTTAGCCCTTCCTCCCGCCCTCGACTGTACCATTAAATCCTAGATAATGGGGTGACTGAAAAGTATAGAGATTAGATGAACAGTTGTCAAAATCTTTTTCCCCCCTCTTCTGCATAGCAAGATTTGCTACTTGTTTTTTTTTAATTTGATAAATATCATAATCAGTTCAGGGGCTTGCTCTGCTTCCAAGGTCACTGCAAGAGAAGGCATTGAACTTTGGACTACAGCTGAGGGGTGAGGTAAACAACAGGACTATAAATATCAGAGTTTCTTTGCTTGGCTCTCTAGAGCTGGTCCAGAAAAGCAAGGAAGAAAGGAAGCAACTTGCTTGGAAGGGGTTGTGTAAGTAGGAACTTTGTTTAGCAATACTTGATTCTTTTAGAGTTTGGTAAACATTTTTTGAGTCCGGTATGTTTTTCCTTTATAGAACAGACTTTAAAAAGCTGGATAGAAGAAATAAAAAAAGGATAAAACAGGGATAAAAAGTGTCTGGGTGTAGTGGGCAACTGATAGTTTGCTTTCTGTGTCGCTGGGCCCAGGCACAGGTCTTGAGGTACACAAGTAGAATTATATGATCAATTTTAAGTATTTCCCACTGAAATGCAGAGTGTGAACAGAACAGGGAGAAACCATCCTTATGAGTTTAAAAAGCCTAGACTGAAATATACTTGTTCTCCAGTGTTGTTGTTTTAGAATAAAAGTAGGTAGGGGAGCAGAGTTTATCCACAATGCAGACCTGGTCACTCCGAAGGAATTGTAAGGAATCAGCAGCACACTGCAGTCGGGTGGTCTGTGAGGACATGCAGAGTTTGGCTGGTGAAGCAGGAGCGGTAGGTGACTAAGAGGCTTCCAGATGTTGGTCTGAGGGTCAGAGGGGGACGAGGGAGGAATTGTTGCTTATCCTGCTTTGAGTGGGGAACTGAAAATAAATGTAGATCAAGACTGGACATTTAATCTAGATTTTGTAATTTAAAAGTAAAGAGTTTAATGAAATTAACTACTGTCCAATTTTAAGACCAGTCACTAGTAAATCTAATCTTATTTATCCTCAACTTTTTTACATAGCTGACAGCTAAAATCAAAATAAAAATTACTATTTAAAAATGAGTAAGCTAACAAATCTGAGTAGCCTATTGTAACAGGAAAATCAGAAAATATTTTTCCTGATTCTAACAGGAAAATCAGAAAGTATGACTTCTTTGTTCGACTAGCCTTTGCCAATGGCTTGTTCTTTTCATCAGAATCCTACACAAGGGAAATACTCTCCATATACTTGTCATTTAACCATATGGAACTCTCTGCTCTATGACAGAGTATGAACTGCTGTCTTTATATGGGCAGTTTTATGGTCTCTGAATTGGTTCTACTCTTTGGGAAGTGGGGTAGTGGACATTGGACCCAGGGCTTGACCTAAATTTAGTCAGAAAATAGGGAAAATCTAGCCATTTTATTAAGAAAAAACTCCCCACCTTATCCTGATGTTCTTTTTACCATCACAGGACAATAGTTATTACAAGGCAATCTGTCTAAAATCTGCCAATGATCCAGTGGTAGAGAGGTCATGTTTTGGGTGTGACAGGCTAATTTGAATCCATTCTCTCATGTGACTTGCTGCCTGTGTGGTCATAGACTACATGCCAAACTTCTCTGGTAGCCATTCGCTCCTTGGCTGGAGAGGGGTAATGGCTATACAACTTGACATGATACATAATCTATGTATAGTTCTATCAAGGCTGAATAAATTATACCTGTAAGAATAATTGTATTAACAATGCAGATATATGCTGAAGAGACATTCTAGATTGTCCAAACATGCCTCCTCTTTAAAAAATGAGAATAGATGAAATAAATTAGAAAAGCTGAGATGACTTTTATATTCTTTTCCTACCCTCCTTTCTTTTTTTGGGGGGGGAGGGGTCTGGTCGTGGGGCTGAATTATGGGCCTGGGCGCTGTCCCTCAGCTCTTCAGCTCAAGGTGAGCGCTCTACCACTTGAACCACAGCACCACTTCCGGCTTTTTTTCTGCTTATGTGGTGCTGGGGAATTGAACCCAGGGCCTCATGCATGCAAGGCAAGCGCTCTACCACTGAGCCACCTTCCCAGCCTTCTTCTTTTCTTTTATCCTTCCTTCCCCTTCTCCTTTCTTTAGTTTTTATCAATTTAGGTTTTCTTTTTTGTTTTGTTTTGTTTTTGTTTTGGTTATTTGTAGGGCTTGCACTCTGGGGTTGGGTGCTGTCACTGACCTCTTTTGCTCAAGGCTAATGCTCTACTGCTTTGAGCCACAGCATCAGTTCTAGTTTTCTGGTGGTTAATTGGAGATAAGAATCTTACAGACTTTCCTGCCAGGCTGGTTTCTAACCACAATCTTCAGATCCCAGCCTCGTTAGATTCTTGGTTGTTTTTATTTTTTATGCAGTGCCTTACTGTGCAGCGAGGCTGGCCTAGTAGTTGCTCTGCATCCCAGTCTATCCTAGAACTCACCATCCTACTGCTCAGTATTGTAAGTGTTGGGATTATAGGTATGTGCCACCACATCCAGCTAAGTTAAATTTTGATATGTTAAATAAATGGAAAGCTAATCAGGTGTAAAAAACCTTAATCTATATACACTAATGCATTAGAGACTCAATCAATCTGATTTTAGGTTTCTTTTAACCTTTTTTTTTTTTTTTGGTAGCGGTCCTGGGGCCTGAACTCAGGGTCTGGACACTGTCCCTGAGCCATTTTGTGCAAGGCTAGCACTCTACCACGTGAGCCACAGAACCACTTCCGTCTTTTTCACAGTAGTCTATGCGAGATTAGAATTTTAGACTTTCTGCCAGGGCTGGCTTCTAACCATGATCCTCAGATCTCAGCCTTCTGAGTAGCTAGGTTTACAGGTGTGAGCCAATGGCACTTGGCTATTCTTCTAATCTTTTAATCCTGAGTTTATTGTAGATACATTGTTGCTAGCATTTCATCATCCCTCTTCTGCACAATGTTTGTGTTTTTCTTTTTCTTTTTTTTCAGTACTGAAGATTGATTTCAGCACTTTAAAACTTGAGCTCTTCCCCAGTCTGCTTGTGCACTGTTTTTTTTTTTTTTAGTACAGTCTCAGATGAGAGAATAAAAACATACTGACTTCCTAGATATTGAATTTTGTATTAATCTTTCTTCTTAGAGTATGACATTAAAATGAGCCTGAATAATCATAGAATGCTTGCTACAACAGATAATTAGTATTTTGACAGCTTTACTGACTCTAGTAGCTTGCTGATACCTCCTTTAAGGAAAATTTAGTTCAAGGAAGCTCCTTACAAAGGCATACTGAATTCACAAAGTGAAGCCGGAATCTGTGGACTGGGTATTCTTTATAGGAAGTAGAATTCTATCTAGTGGATTTATCATAGTTAGGCCTCTGAAGTCATTTGTGAAAAAGACTATCGGTTTTCTCTTTTACAGGATAACCCCAACAATGTGGAGAGGACTGGGGCTTGCCCTGGCTCTCTGTCTCCTTCCCTATGGAGGAACAGAGAGCCAAGGGCAAAGCTCCATTTGTAAGCAACCTCCAGCCTGGAGCATAAGAGATAAAAATCCAATGCTGGACTCCCACGGTACTGTGACCGTGGTTGCTCTTCTTCAAGCCAGCTGATACCTGTGCATCCTGCAGGCATCCAGGTAAGGGAGTATTACTGTGGCTTTGGGCAAAAGTTATAAAATAAATAACATATGTACATCAAATAAAAATGGAAATCATATAATTGATAAATCACTCTTTTGAGAAAAAGTATTTGCATAAAAGAAATTAGAAAGATAAAGAAGATGCACATCAAAATGTTTACAATGGCATTCCTGAGGTCCGTTTTTCTTCTTTTCTAACTTTCTGGTAAATATGTGTTATTCTTATGGAAATATTCTGAAATGTAGTCCAGCAGATGGAAGTTCTTTCCAAATAAGAAGAGGAGAATGTATCTAGAGAAGATAAACACTAGGCTATCTAGCCAAGGTTTTAGTCATTTAACAAATATGTAAGAAAAATATTTATTGAGTCACTCATGAAGTATTCATTGGATAGAACTCTCTATAAGATGAGTAACATAAATACATACTTTACAGCGTTAAAGGACTAAGTGAGCTAGTGTTTCCACAGCATTTAGCATAGGTTTTTGACTGAGCACAGGCTTTAAATGGTTCTAAAAATGAACGCTTCAGAGTTATCCAAGAACATAACAAATAATGTCAGTGAAAAAAATTAAGTGTCACAGGAAAAACCAGAATGTGGAAGAAGGGAGAATAAACCACTAATCAAAAAGCTGACTGATTTTATTTTTTCCCCTCTTAGATTGGAAGACCTGCGAGTAAAATTGGAGAAAGATGGATATTATAATATTTCTTATGTTGTTGTTAATCACCAAGGAAGCTCTTCTCGATTGAAATACATACATCTTAAAGATAAAGTTTCAGATAATATTACTGTTTTTCAACAAGAAGAAGACCAACCAGATGTCTGGGCTCTCTTAAATGGAGACAAAGATGACTTCTTCATATATGACAGGTATGTGCTTCCATGCCAGATTAAAGATTCCTATTTTGTATCTATTCACTATGCATTGCAATCTTCTTTGTTGTTAAATGCTTTATATCATTTATAATTTCATATACAAATTAATGTATTATATAGAAGTAAAAAATCACTTCTCATTTCTAGAAACACTTTCCACTTTTTGATTCCTATGACCCTGTGCTACACTAGTTTTTTTCTTCTAGTGCTCCTCCTCTTCTTTCTCTGTATAGGTTTGCTCTATTCAGGGTTATTTAGTTTTCCTTCTCATTAGGCTGGATTTCCTGCATAATCCATCTTACTTGTTCATTGACTACAACGTATGTTCTGATGAAACAAAGTTATCCACAGCTCCAACACAATGAGTGAACTACAATACAAACTAGGATGTTTAGTTCATGTATTCACAATATTTTAAATTCAGGTGTTCAAATCTAGACCACTTATCTTTCCCCAAAACTTGTTTCTACTTTAACCTTTGTGTGAATTATATAAAACCATCTTTTTGAGGAAATATGCAGCTCTACACAGGGCATATCATCCTCTTCTGTGTTGGAGAACATCGACGACATGATGTATGGTAGTCTTGCTGCCCTCTCCCTCTCATCCATCTATGCATCGTGGGTCAATCACCAAATTGTATGGATTCCAAATCCTCAGTGCATCTATGCTGTCTTCATAATCACAATCTGAAGTTATTCTCCTACTATCCCTCCTATACATTTTTGCAGCAACTTTCTCACTCGTTTCCTGCCTGCTTTATATTTACTTAAAAAGAATTTAAAAGATAATGTTTTGTTACTGAACACATAGTTCTAAATAGGTCTATTGAAGGTTTGTCTTTTTGAAATGACTTCTTGAAGCTAGACCATGCACTGTCCGTATTACCATTCTATTTGTTAAGTAAAGAAAATTGGCTGTACATTTTCCTCCTATAAACTGGAATCTGGTCAAACTGTACATCACATACAATTCTAATCTAAGAATTGTGCAGATGAATAACATACTTTGTAGGTTATGTGTGATTAGTTCTAATTTATAATGTCACAGTTGCATTTCCGATTGCAAAGTGTGTTAATCACTTAAGTATGATCTGCAGAAATCTTTTGGTTCCATGAAACACATTTCAGTTGAACCTCAAAGCATACACTGTCTTATGAAAACAGTCTTGGTGGAGTCTGCTTTCTCTTGGATCTTCTGAGTTTGGTGAAAGGGAGTTGACCTGAGCTTTATCACTACTTGGTCTTATTCAAATAACTTTTTTATATTGTGGTTCATTTTTTTAGGCCTCTAAACTTCTACCTTAGTCATTTAGTACAATACTTTGACATTCACATAAAGCTGTATACACTGGTAAAAACTGGGCAAGGAGGACATTTGAACCCCTTTCTGAGAATGCTAAATGTCCTCATTTTGTTGCACTGAGGTCTTTGCTATATTAGATATACTTTTTAATAAATGGGTTACTGAGTAAAGTTTGACAGCATACATTTGTAATCTCAGCTCTTGGGAATCTGATGCAGCAGGATCTTAAGTTTGAGGGCAGCCTAGACTACAGACTGAGTTCAAAGTAGAATTACAGTGAGATCCTATCTCACTGGGGAGGGAACAGTTTTGTGGTAGAGAACTTGCCTTGCGTGCAAGGCAAGTATCACATAATAAATGAACAAATGAAGTAAATACTGAGCAAGGGTTGGGATGTTTTTGTTATGCAGTAATCTCTCATTCTGTGGAAACTGGCTGCTGCAGCAGTTATAAAAAATTCATATATGTTTTCAGAACCCAATTTTTAAGTCAATGATTGGACTTTGGTAGAGTATATAGGTCAGTTACAAAATTGTATTTGACTAGTGACAGTGACTACATTGCATAAACATTTTTCAGTGACATCTCTGTAACACTTTGAACTGCAAATATTAGACATTGCTCTCTTGCTATGACCTAAAATGGCCTACAGTCCCTGGTTGTTCATTTGTAGACCCTACTCAAGGAGATATACAGGAGATGTGGAGGGATCTTAGTTCTAAGACTTTTAAACCTGTAATACATATACCCATCTGGTTTGGGTAGAATCATTAAGCAGAAAATATTGTAATAACAATGTTTTGTTGTTCTTTTTATTTTTTATGTAGATGTGGCCGTCTTGTATACCATCTTGGTTTGCCTTATTCCTTCCTAACCTTCCCATATGTAGAAGAAGCCATTAAGATTGCTTACTGTGAAGATAAATGTGGAAACTGCTCACTCCGGGTATTTTTCTGAATTATTTTTACTGGGAGAAAGAGGGAATTTTTAAGAGCTATCTATATAAGTTGGTATTGTATGATCCATTAGATAAGCAGTGTTTTTGTTGGTGAATGGAAAATAAGCGAGCTTTTATAATGATACTTTTTTGTTATGTAATACACATTTAAAAACTTATTTTCAAAATCCACATAGATGCTTTTATGTAAGATTTCAGAAACCAAAATCAATATAGCTTGCATATTTTAATAACCACAAAATAATATTATGAGTACAAATGCTCAAAGGATTTAGTCAACACATAAAACGTTATTATTGCAGTACTGTGAACATGTTGACAGTAATAGCAAAGCTTACCTCCCATGAAACTTGTGAGGGTACTGAGGTCTGATATTATCTAATCGATCAAGGACGTTAGACAACCAGCTTTTTTGTGAAGGCCTTCTCATTCAGCAACGTCAGTTATTGTTTTGACTTGAAAACAGAACATTTCCTACTCATTATTATCATTCCTAATAACTATGAGAATATGCCTTGAGAAGTGTTGTATGTAAATGTTTTTCATGAAAAGACAAAGAATTGATTTTAATTTCTATCAACTAGACTTATTTTTCCTCACACTAAAAAGAAAATAATTCTAAACCATGTTCCCTTTATGGGGTACATTGGCAAGATTCAAACTTAGATTTAAGGATAACTTTGACCTTTATTTATGGACTGTGTTTTCACAAAGTTTTCTCCAGCTCAAAGAAAGGCATCTCAAATAATAACAAATTGCTTAATGGATTTAGTTGATAAATTAAAGTTAATTGTTTTTGCATTTTTATGTTTAAATCTTCAAGACATGCAGACTGAAGTAGCAAAAATAAAGTACAAGCTTCATGTCTGGCCTATACCAATTACTTAGTAGATAGCATCTATATTGACTTCTTATAGAATTATTTTTGTATTTTTGTATTAGTGAAACTGCCCAATAGTTTTAACTATACCTACTTATATTTTTTAAAAGTAGGAACAATTCTCATAATAGGTTAAGAAAACAAACTACCTTTAAGGAAGAATATGCTGGCCTGTGAGGAAGGATAATATGCTATCTACAGCTGATATGTCATCAGCAAGGGCAGGTTATTTGATTTACTAAGAAAAATATGCTACCAACTAAAGTAGAATGCAATGCTGAAACACTACAGTAATAGGATGCACTCTAATTTTAGGAACAATAAAATGTGAAAAAATGCACCACAGAATCAGTGAAATTCAGTAATATTTTGTAAATTTAAATTATTCCTACAGCTGTTTGTGTGACACTTGTTTTTTGTATTGGTTTATAATAAACTATGAAGCTCTCACTTAGAAGTAATTCAGAAATAACCAGAAAATGAACTGATTAGTAGTTGTATGCTAAAAATCCAGTGGAATCTGTGACTTGTCAAAGCCTTCCAAATACTGTCACACTATATTGTGGGTCTTTGATTCTGACATGGATTTTATTTACAAATCAACACTGAAATTTGATATTATGTTGTTAGTGTCTGTGTTTGTGAGTACTACAAAACCAAGACAACGTTCAGTAAATTAAAGAACCACGTAGAATGGAAGATCATGATCAGTGGGGTCAGTTTGCATTCTCACCTGGCAGAATCTTATTAGAAAAATTAGCAAAGCTTTAGACAAGTTGAAAGACATTTTGTAGCATATGTTTAAGTATGAAGAACTACCAATTTTGTTTGTTTGTTTTTGGGTCCGGTCGTGGGGCCTGAACTCTGGGCCTGGGCGCTGTCCCTCAGCTCTTCAGCTCAAGGCTAGCACTCTACCACTTGAGTCACAGCGCCACTTTCGGCTTTTTTCTTTTTGCTTATGTGGTGCTGGGGAATCAAACCCAGGGCCTCATGCATGCAAGGCAAGCGCTCTACCACTGAGCCACCTTCCCAGCCCCGAAGAGCTACCAATTTTGAGCAGTTTACTGGCTTTGTTTTGAGTTATTAGAGGGAAACTATTTTGTGTCAGAATATAAAACTAGTTCTATCCTGATTCATTAGTTGGAATTCTGTATATATCATCTGTACCAATAACTTTCACTGTGTTGTTTATAAGGGTACTGACATGTGATTTACAAATCTATTTCAGAGTCTGGAAGATGAAGAGTTCTGTAAAAATGTGTCCTTAGCTACTGTGGGCAAAACAGCACAAGCTCCAGAGCCACATCACCACCATTCGCATCATCACAAGCATGGGCATCAGACTCTTGGGGGCAGTGAGCAAACAGAGAGTCAGCAACCAGGGGCACCAGATGCTTCTCTGCCTTCCCCTCCTCTAGGCCTCCACCACCCCCACCACCACCATCACCACAAAGGCCAGCATAAGGAACGGGAGGGTCACTTGGATAGCTGAGATTTGCCAGGAAGTGAAGGTTTAAAACTTTCACTTGCACAAAGGAAGCTGTGCCGGAAGGGATGTGTAAACCAATTACTGTGTAAGTTGTCCAAGGATTCAGAGTTAGCTCCCAGTAGCTGTTGTTGCCATTGCCGACATCTGATATTTGAGAAAACAGGGTCTGCGGTCACCTGACAGTGTGCAGAAAACCTTCCATCTTTATGCAGCTGACAGGGACTTTTTGAGGAGGAGAGAGTCATTGAATCTTGTCAGTGACGATCACCTCCAGCTGCCTGACAAGCAAGTCAGCAGCTCAAGCCCACAGTCAGCCCCAAATGAAGCTGAAATAATATGGCAAAAAAATGAAAATGACATTCAAACTAAGTATGCTAAATTAGATGTACTTCTCAGCTCAGTCTAGGCAAAATTTTGATCAGGCAACTAAAAAAATCATGTACAAACATGAAGAAATCTGTTGGATTGGCTTCTAAATTTAATACCACAGAAATTTTATCCCAACCAAATTTTTTATGGGACAACTGAAAAGTGATTGCAGTTTTTGGTTAATATGTCTTTCTTTTTCTTCTTCCAGTATTCTATTTGTATTGATGAGAACAGAAACGTAAACTATAACCTAGGGGTTTCTGTTGGATAGTTAGCAAATCAGAATGGAGGAAGAACAACAAAGACATGTTCTCCATATTTTTCTTTACTTATTTCTCAAAAATATATTATCTTTATCTTTTAAATCTTACCATTTTAGCTGATTAAACCTTCAATGAACTGGATTCTGCTTAAGATCCAAAAATAATTAATACATGAATACTTTGCAGGAAAAGTGTATATGACTACATTTTATAACATCCATTTGTCTTTTTTATATCTATGACTCATAGCTTAAATTTCACTGTCATAAACTCTTTGTATCTTGTTTTCTTGAACACTGTATCTCTCTTCTGAATTTTGAATGCTGTCTTGAAAGATGCAACAAGAAAGAAAAGTATGTTGTCTAGTGAAGGCTTAACAGCATTTCCATAGTTATTGATGGTTTAATAGGGAAACTAAGCCCTGTAAACTTGAACTCCTTATGGTAATACTGTCAAGCAAGAATGTAGCATACGACTGCATGGAGTATGGATTTGTCTAAATAAATTCAATAAAAAGCTTACATCTGTCTTTTTTCATTATCTAGGCAGTGTATTTATACTGAAAAGAGAAGTGAATTTCTTAATTGCTTAAAATACTAACAAATTTACCACGGTGCTCAAAAACGTTTACGCTTAAAGTTAAAATTTTTGCCAGCAGAAAGGCGTTGCTCTAAATCTCGAATGGTATTACGAAGAATAGCAATTTCCTTATTTTTCTCTTCTTGAAGATGCTGAAGCTTCTAAATGAAGCAGAAAAAAATGTTAATACAACTCATAAATAATGAAATTAGGCATAAGGAATGACAAAAATACAAATACAGTTTAAGCTAACATTAAAAAAACCCTTATTTTGAAAGGTTATAACAAATTTTATGTAATTTGAAGGGGACAAATAGCATAAGGATACAAGAAAAATAATTAAATATGTTACTAGATAATTTTAGTGGAAGCAGTAAGGAAATTAATTTCTTAAGATATAATCATGAGAAAACTCACATACCCTTCTGTAGATACTCTGTGGCAAAACAGCAGCATCTGCATATGATTTTGATTTGTTTTGAACTCTGGCTAGTTTGGCATCAAACTGAACAAATTTAAAAAGAAAGTTATTGAGAATGTTCTAGTTCTATAACTGGCAACAATTGTCTCTCTTTTATCTTTTTATATATTTTTTACTGTAAAGATACTGTATAGTCTTCCTTCCCTTCCCTTCCTATCCTTCCCTCCCTCCTTCCCTCCCTCCCTCCCTTCCTCCCCCCCTTCCTTCTTTCTTCTTTCCTTCCTTGCTTGCTTTCTTTCTTTCCTTTCTTTCGTGCTTGCTTGCTTTTTTTTCCTCTCTGCCTTGAATTCAGGGCCTAGCGCTATGCCTGAACTCTTTTGCTCAAGGCTAATGCTCTAGCACTTTGTGCCACAGCTTCACTTCCAGTTTTCTGGTGGTTAACTGGAGGTAAGACTCTCATGGACTTTCTTGTCTGGCTTTGAACTGTGATCCTTAGATCTCAGTCTCTTGAGTAGCATGGGTCACCAGTGCCCAGCAACAATTGTTTCTTATAAGTACAATCAAGGATATCCTTTGACACAGACTTTGTAATTCAAAAAAACCTTTAAGAAACAATTTCTTTTGCCAGTCCTGGGCCTTGAAGTCAGGGCCTGGACGCTGTCCCTGAGCTCTTCAACTCAAGGCAAGTGCTCTACCACTTGAGCCGCAGTGCCACTTCCGGCTTTTTCTGTTTATATGGTGCTGAGGAATTGAACCCAGGGCTTATGAATTTGAGCCAGGCACTCTACCACTGAGCCACTTTCCAAGCCCTCAGGTTTTTTTTTTTTTTGTTGGTCGTGGGGCTTGAACTCTAGGCCTGGGCGCTGTCCCTCAGCTCTATCAGCTCAAGGCAAGTGCTCTACCACTTGAGCCACAGCGCCACTTCCCCATGAAACAATTTTAAAGAAAGAAAAAAGAACATTTAGCTGCATGTTAGAATTACCTGAGGAACAAAGTGCTGGATCCTCTGCTTAGAAGATGCTTTATTTGTAATCCCATAAATTTTTTCTCAAGAAATTTGCTTTATTTGTACTTATAATATATAGTTTCACAGAAATTTATTTATTTATTTACTTTTTTGGCTGTGGGGCTTGAACTTTGGGCCTGGGCGCTGTCCCTCAGCTCTTCAGCTCAAGGCAAGCACTCTCCCACTTGAGCTACGGTGCCACTTCTGGTTTTCTAGTGGTTTATTGGAGATAAGAGTTTCACAGACTTCCCTGCCCGAGCTGGCTTTGACGCGAGATCCTCAGATCTCAGCCTCCTGAGTAGCTAGGATTACAGACATGAGCCACCGGCGCCCGGCTCACAGAAATTTATTAGATATTTGTCATTTTTTAATGCCAAATAGTTGGTTTACTAAAAGCTCCACAATTTCTGCTAGAGAAAGAACAACACTGAAGAGATGAAGACTAGAAATGAACTCCCCAGGCTGGAAAGGTGGTTTGATGAAATTGAAATATATTTGATTATAAAATGCAGGAAATTTCCTGAGTTGTTTGGGGAACTTTCCACAGGGTTCTACCTATATGTCAAGTGCAATGTAACTACTCAAGGCAGTGGAGCCAAAAGCTGTGTGGTGACTGAGCCTTTGCTGAAGAATTTCAGCCCTGGTTGAAGGATGGGTACCCATGCAGCCCTCCCACAGGATCATTTCTAGTCCTGAAATGTGTCTCACTGCAATTCAAAATTATGAAAGCATAGTTTAGACTAATGAAAATGTCCTCAAGTTTGGTTGACTCTTTAAGAACCTACCTCTACATGTAGTTTCATGATTTCATTTTGTTTTTCATTTTCTTGAGCAATTAATTTTGTATTTAACTCTGAAATCTCCATTTGCTTTTTCTCCATTAGTTCCTTGTGTTTTTCTTCATTTAATTCAACTGAATAAAACAAAAAGTCATTGACTGACAATTTCAAGGCCATGCTTTTATATCTTAAGTATTTTAAGAAATTCATAAGAAAGTAAATTTCATTCATAAAATAATTTTGAAAATTGCTTCATATGGTAGCTGGGCATTGGTGGTTCATACCTTCAATGCTAGCTACTGCTCTTTAGGGGCAGGACATATGTTACCCTACAAAAACTCCCAGAAAATGAAGCAAATTGTTTGTATGGCCTTAAAGCTCTAGAGAAAGCAACGACCAAGGCTAGGAGAAATGGAAATGCTCAAACTGTTCTGGCAGAGTACAGAAAAGAATTCAGAGATTACAGAAAACTTTTATGGATAGATGATGTGAAACAGAAAACTCCATCAGAGATAACCTTCTTCAGGAAGACCAAGAAGGAAACCATTAACCAAGGCCAACAGAAATGTGCCCGTAAGAGGCAAGGTAATGTCACCAAAAAGTTCAGTGTTCATTTTCCTCTGCAAGCAAGGGCTGACAATGAAACTAGTCAAAAGCTAAGCTCATTAGTATCCCTGGGATAATACCATTTCTACTACAGAGAAATAGAAGGATGATTAAGGCATACAACCACTAAAAGTTAGGAGGCCACAATTACCAAGCTAATAACTAGCAAAGCAGAGAGAAACCAAAGGGACTCACTCTGTTGAAAGTTTCAGAGATATATAAGTTGCCAGTTTTGCTTAACATCTACTACAAAATAAGAAAAATGAGGAAGAAGGAGATTGAGAGTTTGTGTCTTACCAGTCTGCTTTGAGTTAATAGAGATTTAGAGTTTGTGTCTTACCGGTCTGCTTTGCGTTAATATAATGAAATATTAGGGCAACTAAGTAACTAAAAGATTTATGTACATCATAGTTTCAGAGATTTAAGGTGTAAGATCAGGTTGGTCCCACTGCTTTGGCCTCTGATGAGGGCAGCAAGTGGTGGCACATGTGTAGGAGCAAGCAGTCACATTTTTGTGGTACTGGGGAATGAAGGCCGGGCTTCACACTTGTTAGGCACGTGCCCTATCAACTGAGCCATGTCACTGGTCCTTTTGCTTTTTAGTTTGTTTTTCAGATAGGTTCTTATGCTAACTCTGCTTGGGCTAGCAACAGACCACAGTCGTTCTACATTCACCTGTCAAGTGGCAGTGACCACAAATGCGTACCACCGTGCTCAGATAGTTTTTGAGATTGCATCTCACTAACTTTTTTGTAGGCTGGTCTTGGACTATAATCCTGTCTCTTCTTCCAGAGCAGCTGAGAATACAGGTATGAACTATGTATACCATCATGCCTAGATACTAGCTGTTTGAAAAAGTGAAAGATGACATTGCATTGTGGCTTGAATGTACATTTCCCTACTAATTATATTGAGAATCTTCTTACATGATTTTTATACTTAGTTTTAATAGCATAAACTAGTTGAATAAGTGAAATCTCATTGTTGCATTTCCACACATGGATACAATGTATCCTGGTGAATCTCAACCCTTCAATCACTCATTTTCTCTTTACATGATTATTTTTCAACTGTTTATCTCTTGGGTAATTCAAATGTTTGTTTAAATATTTTGGTCATTTCCTTGTTGAATTGTCTAAATTCTTTTTAGTGACTTATTAGAGTTTAGACACAAATTTGCAAGTGATTTCTCCCAGCACGTGGCTTGTCTTTATTTTCTTAGCAGTGTTATATAGAAGAGAAATTAACAATTTTGAAGGTAAATTTAGAATTTTTTCCCTTTACTGTTTGTACTTTTACTTATTTTCAACAAATTATGTCTAACTCAAGGGCACAATGATAATTTCTTATGTTTTCTTCTAGTAGGTGTGAAGGTGTGCGTGTGTGTGTGTATGCACACGTGCATGTGTGGAGTTTGAACTCAGGGCCTGAGCACTGTTTCTGAGCTCCTTTTGCTCAGGGTTAGTGTTCTACCAATTGAGCCACAGCTCCACTTCTGGCTTCTTAGTGGTTAATTGGAGATAAGAGTCTCATGAACTTTCCTGACTGGCTGACTTTGAACCATAATCCTCAAATCTAGCTTTCTGAGTGGTTTACAGCAGAAGCCATCAGTGCCCGGCTTCTTCTAACAGTTTTACATTTAGATTTACCATTTACTTCAAGTTAATTTTTTCTTTTTCAGTTGTTTGAGACAGAGTTTTGCTATGTAATACAAGGTACTTCAAGTTCATGCTCTTCTGTTTCAGCCTTCCAAGTGCAAGGTTACTGGTATGTGCAAAAATACCTGGTTTCAAGTTAGTTTTTTCACATGATGTGTGTGCATAAAGATGGATTCATTAAGGCAGATTTAAAACAACCATATCAAAGCAATTAACCCTTAACATAAATGTATGAGGTTGCTTTACTGAGGAAAATTTTATTACTGAAATTCTACTTAATATGTTGAGAATATAAATATAAAATTTATTAACTATACTTTCTTTACTAAGCAGTTTTACATTACACACACACACACACACACACACACACACACACACACACACGGCAGCACTGGGGTTTGAACTTGGGCCTGCTTGCTATGTAGATATTCTTACTTCTAAGCCATGTAATATATATGTATAGTGATTGCAG